GATCTTATCTTCTTGCATTAGGCCTCCGTAGAAGGTTTCAATCTGAAACTGTTCCTCAAACCCATGGTGAGGGCATTGAAGAAAGTAATCGGAGTACCTCTCCCAACCATCCCTCAAGGTTTCGTCCTCTTCTTGCTCGAAATATGTAATCTTCTTTCTCCACTCCGCCATCTTCGAAGGCGGGCAATAACGAGCCATAAACTTGTTGAGGAGGTCGTCCTATGAGGTGATATACTGAGGTGGGCAGTTGTTTAGCCACCTAAGTGCCTTCCTCGAGAGTGAGTATGGGAAAAGCCTTAGTTGCAAAGCCTCGGCCAGCACACCATTACTCTTCAAGCTCCCCGCGAGCTCCAAGAATCTCTGCACATGCTCTCTTGGTGACTCGCTTTCATGGTCGTGGAAGATAGCATTACTTTGTATCATAGTCACTAGAGCCAGCTTGATCTCGAAATTATTTGCCGCCACCGCAAGATGTAGGATCGGCGATTGAATGTCCGCCGGCCTTTGGGCCATATAGTATCCCATCGTCCTCGGGGCTCCCTCTTCTCCCGCCTCCTCATTCATTTGGCGAGCTTGAGCGGCTCCATCTTGCCTTTAGTTCCCCCACCATTTCCTCTTCAATGACGGGTTCAACTTCCACTTCTTCAACTACTTCTCCACTAACACCAGGACCCAATTGTTGTCCCCCTCTTTCACTCCTTCTCCTTGCCTCGGCTAGCTCTCTTGTTACACCCCGCTTAAAGTCAAAATGAATATTATACCCTCGGGTCAAGTTCCACCGTATTATCGATGAGGATTAAAAATGTGAACTAATAGTGCAAACGGTGTCGAGTTTCGACATGAAGTGAGAAAATTATGGATGTTAACTGAATTTTGGATTAAACTCACCCGTAATTAGGAATTCCCAAATTAACCCGGCACAATTAAACCCTAACCCTACCTCTCACTCAGCCTCACCTCAAACTAACAAAACCCTTCATTCTTTTTTTCCCCAAATCGTAAAGAGCTTTCCTCAAAGAAACAGGTGGGGCGGCTCGCTCCCTCCCCAGCCACTCTCGGTCACGAGCAAGAAGTGGGAACGTACTACATGGGAGCAACAAGAAGAAGCTAACCCATCCCGTTCCCCACCTCCCAAGAGCAGAGAGCATGAGAGGGATTACAGAGCGGGTTTGGTACGAGTGGAATTAAATGGGATTCACTCAGATTTAGGTGGACCGGGATATTGAGAGGTGGAAAGCGGTGATGGTGGGAACCCGGAATTAATTGGACCCTAGTTCCATGATGATGGGACGAGTGAGAGCCTCCACGAATTAGCCTGTCAAGATGGTGATTTCCGTTAGGGGTGTGCAATGGTCCGGTCCGTACCGGATCACACCGGACCAAACCGTTGTTAAGACCGGACCGGACCAGACCAAGTAAAATACGGTCCGGTCCTTGGTCCTAATGAATTTTATAATTACTAAAGAAATGGTGGACCGAGCTCATATTTGGACCGGACCGAACCGGACCAAATGGACCGAATGCAAGAATGGTCCGGTCCTTGGTCCTAACATGTCTTTCACTAATGGACCGCGGTTCTCATGAGTTTGGTCCGGTCCGGACCGAACCGAACCGTTGCACACCCCTAATTTCCGTACCTGCAAGCTGCGGTGCAGGTTTGGACGGTTGGATAATGGAGAAAGGGACTCGAGGGACATCATGGAGTTATTATTCTTATTTTGATCAAGCGGCGGCACAAAAGGAGGAATTTTGATTGAAGGCTTGCTCATGCACGTGGCTGATGAGGTTAAGGAAGAGAGATGAAGTAGCCAGGGACAAGCACTCTTACATTGAGGAGTCGTTTTTTCGAGGTGACTGTAAAGGGGGTAAATTCTACGTCTTACGTATTCTTTTATGTATTATAATTTTAAGTATTTTAGTGAATTGGTTATCATTGCTTGATTATGTTTATGATTGATTAATTGCGCTTTGCTTGAGCTATGATTTGAGGTGATTTTGTGCTATTTGAGGTGGTTTGGGGTGATTTTGTGCTATTTACCTTAAAGCGTTATGTTATGAGTTATTGTTAAAGTTTAAGAAACAAGTTCTTTTTAAGAAGTAACTCACCCTAGTTTAGGTGGCTTAGAAAGAGGAAGGAAAACCAACTCGATTGAGTCTCCCTTGAAAGAGGGATTTTCCTCTCTAAACTAGGCTAAGGTGGCAAATTAGATTACTAGCACCTACATGCACAAACTTAGGGGGTGCTAAGCACAATATGCACAATCCCTAGGATGCTAAGCACAAAATATGCACAACCCCTAAGCTGCTAAGCACAAGCATGCACAATCATGGTGAATAATGCCTCAAACATTAAATAGAACAATACCCAATATCAATCATCCAAACCACATACAAGAAAACTACATGGTAGAGTTAGGGTTTCACTACATCCAAGTGAAAGGAGGACTACTCCATGGAAGAAGTGGGAAGAACAAAAGGGAAAAAGGTGGAAACCATCTTTTGGGGATGCCTCCTCTCTTCTTCAACCTTGAGCTGAGATCTCCTTGGGGAAATCTTCCCAAAATCTTCCTTGAAACCAAACTCTAATCTCTTCTTCTCTTTGGTTCTGTTTCTCTCACTAAAATGCTAAAGAATGTGTTTCTCTTACAAAAGTGGGATCTCTCTTCTCTCCTCCTTGCAGCTCAGCTTTTAAACACGAGAAGAGTTGAGTTCACGGCCGTGAACTATCAAACGCATCCGTGAACTCAAGGCAAGTGCCAAAACGCTTTGCATCGCTCACGCCAGTTCACGGTCTTAGTGACCGTGAACTCACCTTGGGTCAGTAACGTTCAGATTGGCTCTGGACGCCTTGCACTTCATGGTCAACTCCCATTATTCACGGTCTTGCACGACCGTGAACTTCTGCCTTTAGCCGTGAACTAGCGTTTTTTCACCTCTTCTCCCGGTTTTTGATGCTTTTCGCCAATCTTTTTGACTCTGAGGCTAGTTCCACCTGTTAAATCCTGAAAAGCACTCAAACAAGAAGAACCTCGCGTAAAATCAACCTTTAATGAGCCAACTTGGCACAAACATCTAAGTCAAACGGGGGCAAAACATGTGTAATTAGGCCCGAATCAGGTAGACGGACGGCGGAGATGAGAGCGGGCGTTGTGGCAGGCACCTGCGGTGGCAGGAAACAAAATTCAATCGGTTGGAATGCACTTGATTCTGGCGGATGGAGGAGAGAAGGCAAAAAGCGATGGTTTTATATAGAGGTGGAAATCGGTACGGAATCGGTATCCCAATACCATATATCGAAATCTCGAATGCCGAATTATACCCGAAAGTCAATCCCAATCCCTAAATAATTTCGGTATCCCAATCTCTAAATATTCTGGTATCCCAATTGGTTCTTCGATTTCCCAATCGATATTATCGAATAGAAATAAATTACATTTGAAATAAATATATAAATTAGATTTGATTATTTAATTTAGGGCAAAGGACTAAGCAAAGAGTCTTGAGTTTGCCTAGAGCTACGATATGGATAAGGAGAATGAAGGAGAGGTGACATCTCAAGTTCTTATTATTGGTAATCTTTAATTTGACGAATTGAAGGGTGAGAGACAACTAATACTAGTGTTTGCTTTTTGGTGTTATGAATATAACAAGTTATTAGGTGAGAGATGAGAATGACTTAAATTGGAAAGTCAAAATTGAGTTGGATGGGGACTTTTGAATTGTGAAACAAAGGTGAAATTATCTATGTATAATTAAATGACACTCTTGGTGGTTGAGGGTCGTGTAGTAGTAAATGAGAGAGTCTAGTTGAGAGGATAAAACACACACTAACTTATATTTCGGTATTGATCAGTATTTCGGTATATACCGATCTCAATCCCGTAATCTCTTATACCGAATTACAATTGAAATTAAATCTCAATCCCAAAAAAATACGTGTATTTGGTAATACCAAATATAGACAAATTCGGTACGGTATTCAGTATATCCCAAATACCGGTACCAAACTTCCAGCCCTGGCTTTATATGCGGAACAGGTTTAATAAGGCTTCCATAGATAGCTTAATTTTATAGGAAGGAGCACTTGGAAATGGCTTAAATCCAAAAGCCCTTTAATAATTTTATAGAAGTCATTCCCAATTGCGAGACTGTGCCAGAACTCGCCCTCAAATCCGTATTCCAAACAACTCTTACAGACCGTTTGGTATAAAATGAATCGAGAATTCAATTCATTTTAAAATGAATTAATGTGTAGAATTCATTGTCAAATGAATTATTGTGTTTTGTATGTTATGTTCAAATATTTAGAAATGAAATGAATTCTCAAACCATGTTTGCCATATGTTCATAATTGAATTAAATTAAAAATTACCAACTATACCCTTATTAATTTCCGACAAATCAAAATAATATATATCTCACATTATTAACATATTTTAAGTACCTCAAACACTTTTAATAACTTGAAGTTGTTGATAAAGGAACAGAAGACATATGTTATATATAAAACCTAACCTCATTAGTCATTATGTGTATAGTAGCAGCTTTAAGTAGTATAATGTACATATAAAAGAAACAATCTCCATAAAAAATTTACAAAAGGAAAACACATATATAAGAGAGTTGCACAACTTAGCCTCGATGAAATTGGGAGTCTCCCTGGAAGTAGGGTTAAGGACTTTGGAGGCCACAGTAGAAGCTGCAGCTGAGCAAAAAATGGAGAAACAGAAAGTTGTGAATATATTAGGTTTAGGGGTGGTTTTGAAGTTAGGAGTCTAAATGAGTGATTCTGTGAATGTGTGTATGTGCGCAAAGTTGTATCACATGCGCCAAATAATATATCGAAAAGAGTAACATAATTAATAATTAAGGATAATTATGTCATTTTATCATAATTAGTAAAATAATTGTGGAATTCATTTTGATATTCCATCTCAATTCTTCTAAATTGTTCATTTGAAAATTACTCATTTGGATGGCGGTTGTCTTCTTTAAGAAAAATGTTGCGAGAGGCTCTGTCCTCTCTCCTCCTGCTTTGTTTGGTAGGCGGTTGTTGGTTAGCAAGGGTCGCCGTCGGGGCTTTTGTGACGAGTGTGCGGAATCAAGCCAAGCAAAGCTGGATACTGCACCCGACATTCAATGCTTGTAGCGAAATCCAGGAGACGGGGAGAAAGGAAACCCCATTCTCCATCAAACAAGAAAGGAAACGGCAGACGAAGCAGCCGACGATTCCCTGTTGCGATGGTGCCCGGAGTGGCGACAAGAGACGGCAATCAACCAAGCGATCTCTCTTGCTTGCGTTTGAGGTTCCGGAGATTTTGATTGACCGTCCAACAAAGAGGTGTAAACAGGGATCAAGAAAAGCCTGGAGATTTTGGCTTCCGCAATCGTCAGATTTGGACAAAGAAGAACTCGATTTAATCCCGTTCGCGGGCATCCCTGCACAGATTGGTGAACCTGGAATTATTCAGAGTAGACGCTGTGATCAGGAAATCAAAAGTTTCCCCATAGGGGGAGGGATTAGTCCCGGGACACCGATTGGTGTTGATTTTGGATTTCGCCATTACAAAAACAAAGGCGATTTCAGTGTTGTTTACAGAACTAGTACAGCTAGTGCAATTCCCTTTGGGGATGGGGCATCCGTGATTCCTCCAGCACAGACGAAGCAAGTGCCACGCTTTAGGTCCAGAATTCCCAAAAAACCCGCCGACGATTCGTGCGGCGGTGCTGATGGTGCCGATGATCGGCGCGGACTGGGAGGCCTGAAAATTCGCTGGGTGGATAGAGAGGCCTTGCGGCCCAAATCCCTAATCTAGTTAGGCAAGATTTGCGGGGGAGATCTGCAATCGAAGAATCATAATCTCCCCCTGAAAAATCAAATATTCTCCTCCACGAGAGAAAACCTATTCCGAAACTAACTCTGCTTTCTGGAAGTTGCAGAGGGCCACGCCTCTTAGGAGGACGCGCTGCGGTAGCTGCCTATAAATTGAGGTTGCCGATAGCAAGCGTATTATCTAAAAATTCCTGGTGGCCAGTAAGCCCTGCAAAGACAAGAGGAAGTAATTGCCGGCGGCTTTCTGCTCTCGAGTCTTTGGTGAAGCCAGCCGTCCCCCCCGACCAGTTGCGCGTTGCTCAGGCTCCATCGACAGGTATAGAGATTTTTTATTCTCTCCTTTCTCTCAGCTCCGCCCCAGCTGAGCCTACTGTACTGTCAAGTACCAATACGCTGCTGGGCTCTTCCCGCGGCGCGCTGCTGCAAAAATCGAACGCGCCCCGTCCCTCTTATCCTGCCATGGTCTTAATTCTAAGAAAAGCAGATTGCCTGCTGCAACCCCCTGCTTCCTTTAAAAATTCGACCATAGTCATTGATTCTAATGTCAAATCTATGCCTCCTTCTCAGGTGATTAAGATGGCGCGAATTGCGGAGGATCAAGTGGTTGAGTTCACGCTTGATGAAGTTCAGTCTGTCAAGTTTTGCACTGCGCGGACACTCTTGGGTAGACTATTCTCGAAGAACAGTTTCACGCCGGCAGAGTTGAGGGAAGGTCTTGTTGACGCTTGGAGGGTGAAAGGAAACCTTCGGGTTACGCTTACTAAATTCGGTTTGTTTGAGGTGGTGCTGCCAAATGATGAGACAAGAGTGTGGATTCTGAAACAAACACCATGGATTGTCAAAGACAGGATATTCCATCTTCGATCCTGGGTTCCATCTATCTCGAAAACTACTTTTGAGGAACTGGCCATTGCTCCCTTCCGTGTGCAGCTCTGGAATGTCAGAGATGAATGCTGCACTAGACAGTTTGGTCGGAAGCTCGCAACTGGAACTATTGGTCAGGTTTTGGAGGCAGATGTTTTTGCGGCAAGAGACACGGAGGAGCGCTTTGTCAAAGTGCTTGCTCTCATTGATTTTACAAAACCTCTGCGCTCCCAGCTCATGGCGATCAGTGCGGAACTTGGTCAATTCTGGGTACATCTCAAGTATGAGTTTTTACCGACCATTTGCTTTCATTGTGGCCGAGTGGGACACTCAAAACATGACTGTGTGTTCGACCCTCCTTCACGGAAGGAACGATTCGGCCCTCACATGTCAACAAAGAAGCTAGGAAGGAAGCTGTAAATGGATGAGGAAGATTCCATGAATTATCGGAATACCAGTAAATCTGTGTGGGTGAACATAAATGTGCAAGTCTACAACGGAGGGAGTGCAATGAATTCTCGGGGTCGAGTGCAGGACCTTCCAACAGGGCACACTGACCACTCTCAGGCTCATGGGCTGGTCCCCTCTGTGGCCGAGGATTTGACAGCTCAAGCGAGCAAGAAGGCACAGCCTAGGCTGAGGGACCCAGGTAATAAATTGATTGGGCAGCGTGCTAGTCCACAGCGGTTTGTGCTCAAACCATCCCCGCGGGTGAAGATTGGTGGTGTGGTGAGGCAGAACCAGAAAAAACAGTCCCCCAAAAAGGGTGCTTCCCTCCCTCGACAGGGTACCAAGGGTCGCCAACAGCATGCTGGGCGGGAAAAGCAAGCTACTCAAGGTCAGCAGAAGGCGGATCCTATGGTGGAGGTTCTTAAGCAGTCCCGGAGGCGTCGATTGATCTTGCAAGAGGATTCTGAAGAGGAGGAGATGGCGGGAACTAAGGGGTCTGGTCCTCCATTGCTGAAGGAACCTTCCAAGACTCGGGTTCGCCCACGACTGAGAAAAGTTGGTGCGACGAGTAGGCTGGCTTTAGCCAAGCAGGATGAGGGCATTGCCTCATTTGGGGCTATGCACGGGCTGGAGGATGAGGAGGCTGCTGTTCCTCTGGGTGATCCTGTTGCTGCGTGGCACCAGGAGGATTCTGGTTCTGATGGGGATCACTCGCTTGGAGCTTTTGAAATCAAGCGGCGTTCCCCAGGTGGGCGCTCCACGCAGGTCAGCTAGGGGCGGGTCCACCAAGTAGTGGAGGCTTTTGAGGCTGGGCTTGTTTTCGAGCGGGAGGAGGATGTTCCCTTAGATGAGTATGGGTCTAATCTGATGGGCCCATTCATGGAGAATCGGAAGCGGGGGATAGATGCTTTGGACGGGGAGGTTGGTGACCCCCCTACTCCAAAGAAACAATTTGTGGAAGCTGCTGAAGGATTGGAAAAGGTGGAGGAAGCCAGCCTAGATTGGCCCCAGGGTGATAAATGAGGCTTCTGGCCTAGAATGTGAGAGGAATTGGGCCATCTCTCACGTTCCAAACTGCTGTAGGGCTTTGTCATTCCAATAAACCGGATCTTGTGTTTTTCTCGGAGACACGATCGAGCCAGCGTGTAGTGTCCCGCTGGGGTCTGGATTTTGCTCTTTCTCATTGTTTTTTGTAGTTGCAGTCGATGCATCGGGTGGTTTAGTTGTTGCTTGGGCCCCCGGGGTTGACACTATGGTGTTTTGTCATTCAGATTTCTATATTTGTTCGCAAATTAATGAAGGGGATTTGTCGTATGTTGTGATTTTCGTTTATATTAGTTGTAATATTGTTGTTTGAGCTACCCAATTGGCTCATTTGCGGAACGTTTGTGCGGATCTTGCTCACCCTTATGTGATCATAGGCGATTTCAATGCTACTCTGCATGAGAGTGAAAAAGATGGGGGGCGGGCGTAGAATGCGACCCAAGCTTTTAGTCTCCGTGAATTCGTTCATGATTTGGGTCTTCAAGACCCTGGTTACCAAGGAGATCAGTTTACTTGGACTAATAAGCGCATGGGCGATGCTTGCATTCGTGCTCGTCTGGATAGAGCGATTTGCTCTCAGTCCTGGATGGATGTGTTCCCGGAGACTCTAGTCAAACACTTCACGGACCAGGGATCAGACCATCGTGCCCTTCTCCTTGCTGATAAACCATATGTTCCTTCTAGTCGGCCTCTTTTTCGTTTTGATGCCCGTTGGGCGAATAATCCGGAGGTAAGGGCCATGGTTAGCTATGTCTGGCGGGAGGAGGTCCAGGGCACCCCTATGTTTCGACTGTGGGAACGCCTAAAGAAACTCCGTCATCTGCTATATGATTGGAGCAGGGCGGGCACGACTAACTCCTTGCGTAACATCAAGACGCTCCAAGCCGAGATTGATAGGATAAAGTCAATCCATCCGGTGGATTGGGATGGAATTAGATCCCTGGAAACGGAGCTCTCCCGTCAGTGGGAAGCGGAGGAGGTGTTCTGGCAGCAAAAATCCAGGGTTAAATGGTTAAAAAAAAGGAGATCAAAATTCTGCCTACTTCCATACGGTCACAAGGGCACGCCGGAAGAGGAATTTTGTTGCTGGGCTTCGAAATGAGGAGGGTGATTGGGTCACTGAGTAGTCCGGAAAGGCTTCTCTTGCCACCAACTTTTATCAGACCCTGTTTACCTCGGAATCTCAGGTTCCTGATATGGCGGAGAGGGTGGCGACTCTGCCGATTGCCCGTAGTGTTACTCCTCAAATGAATGCACATTTGCCGGTAGAGGTTTTTCCAAGTGAGGTCCGGAGGACGGTCTTTTCCATGGGTTCGAAACAGGCCCCGTGGTTGGATGGATTCACAGGAAAGTTCTTTAAAGCTTTCTGGGATATTGTGGGCACTTCGGTGGTTGAAGCAGTAATTTCCTTCTTTACTTTGAGTCGGATGTTGCGAAGTTTTAATCATACCTGGCTCACCTTGATTCCGAAAGTGGACTCGGTGGAAACAATTAGACAATTGCGTCCAATTAGCCTCTGCCAGTTTGTTTACAAAGTGATTACTAAAATCATGGCTGAACGGCTGGCTAGCATGCTTCCGCAGATCGTGTCGGAAGGGCAAAATGGCTTTATCAGAGACAGGCAGATTATTGATAACATCCTTATAGGACATGAAATAATGCACTATCTGAAAATAAAACGGCAAGGGAAGAAGGGGGTACATGGCTCTGAAGATTGACATGGAAAAGGCCTATGATAGAGTCAAATGGCCCTTTCTTCTTGCAGTGTTGGATAAGATGGGGTTTAATTCAGTCTGGCAAGGATGGATACATGAATGTCTTCGGTCCTCCTCTTTCTCGGTTCTGATGAATGGTACACCTTCGGGTTATTTCTCTGCCTCTAGGGGCCTTCGTCAGGGGGATCCGCTCTCTCCTCTCTTGTTTGTACTCTGCACGGAGGGGTTTGCAGCCCTACTCCGAAAGGCGATTATGGAGAAAAATTAGAAGGGATGAAAGTAGCTCCTCGTGCTCCAAGGGTCTCGCATCTATTCTTCGCGGATGATTCTTATCTATTTTTGTGAGGTTCTCTGCAGGAGTGCGAGAATTTAATTGAGGTGCTGAATGAATATGAGGAAATGAGTGGTCAACGCGTTAATTTGGAGAAGTCGGCGGTGTGCTTTAGTAAGAATATTTCCACGCCAGATCAGTTCTTGGCCACGATTCTAGGGGTTGGTGCAGTGGGGGTCCACGATAAATATCTGGGGTTTCCAACACTGGTTGCTCGATCCAAAATGGCTACTTTCAGATATTTGGAGGATAAACTCCTAGATAGACTTCAGGGGTGGAAACAAAGGACATTGTCGTGGGCGGCTAAGGAAACATTGATTAAATCCATAGCGTTGGCTCTTCGACCATGTTATGTCCTGTTTCCGTCTTCCTCTGGCTCTTTGTCGTCTTTTAGATAAGCATGTGGCCCGCTTCTGGTGGGGTGCTGAGGACAGTTCTCCCAAAATTAGATGGGTGTCCTGGTGTAACATGTGCAGGAGTAAGCATGATGGGAGGATGGGATTTCGCCAGTTTGAACATTTCAACCAAGCTATGTTAGCTAAGATAGGCTGGCGTATTCTCAATGAACCTCAATCACTTATTGCTCTGATCTATAAAGGCAAGTATTTCCCTCAAGGGTCCTTCCTGACTGCGACTGCTAGATCTTGTCCCTCTTGGGGGTGGCAAAGTATTCTGCATGGGCGTCAGTTATTGGAGAAGGGTTTGAGATGGCAAGTTGGGAATGGCCAATCGGTCGCTCTCCTTCATGCTAATTGGATTCCTAGTTACCAATTTGATCCTCCAAGCTATAATCCGCGGATCTTGCCAGAGGGGGGGTACCCCTTGGTGGCGGAGGTTATTTGTGAGGGAGGAGGGAGGTGGTCTGATGAGAAGTTCAGTCAATGGTTTGACCCACCTACCTGTAAGGCTATTAAAGTGATTCCTCTCCCACGCTGGGACGTGCCGGATAAGCTTATCTGGCATTTTACGGGCGACGGGGTCTTCTCGGTTAAGTCGGCCTATCATTTGGCTGTTGATTTTGACAGGAGGAGGGGTGGGTGGCGATCCTCGGTTAGCTGGATGGATAAGCCGAGTTGGATTATAGTTTGGGAGGCGAGGATTCCTCCGAAGTTGAAGGTTTTTCTTTGGCAAATTCTTAATCGGGCTCTGGCGACTATGGAGGCGCTTATTGAGAAAAAGGTCCAGGTGCTACCTCGGTGTCCAGTTTGTTGGGATGGCCCAGAGACAATGGAACACCTGTTCCTTTATTGTCCGGTTGGCCGGGCCTTCTGGGATTATTCTGGTCTGGAGTACTTGGGGGAGGGTTTGCCTCGGCATACTTTTCCTTTGTTTCTCAAACGTCTGTTGGGTTTGATCCATCAGTCGGCAGTGGTTATGGCTGCTGTTGCCATCCTTTGGAGGATCTGGCGATCTCGGAACTGGGTAGTCTTTGAAGGCAAACAATTTGGGATCCCGACACTCATGCGCCAGTTTAATCAGCAGTATGAGGAATGGATGGACCTACCAGCAGACCAGGCACCGAGGACGCCGATCCCGATAATGCAATCTACAGCACAAGTGGGTGATTCTCATTTGGTTTGCATGTGGGATGGAACTACTAAGGGTGAGTCGCATTCGGCTGGTGGGATGGTTCTTTTTGACCCAGCGCGGACACTCCTTCTGGCTAGAGGGGTTCAGTTTGCTCAAATGGATGATCCTGGAGTGGTGGAGTTGCTTGTACTGAGAGATGCTATTATGTGGTGAATCGAGCAAGGTTTGTCGGAGGTTCGTTTTGAGGGCGATGCAAAGGTGATCATTGACAAACTTAATCAAGCCGACACGAGAGATAGCCGGTTGGGCGCTGTTCTGGAAGAGGTTGCTCATTATTTGCGTACTCAGCCTGGCTTTAGTGTGCGTTTTGTAGGTCGGGAGAACAATAGGGTAGCTCATTTGATAGCTAGGAAAGCCCTCTCTTTGTATCCGACTATGAGTCGCTTCTTTGATTTCCAGACCTGGCTGATTTCCAGGATGTAACTGTCTATTTTTTCGATCAATATATGATATCTTTTGGGGGGAAAAAAACTACTCAGGATGGACGTGGAATTTTGGGTGAGGAAATTTGAAATCCCTCCATTGTAGATTTTTGAAATAGTTGTCCCATATTTTTTGAAATCTCACATTTCACTTTTATTTTATTTTTTTCCAAATCTATCCCTAATGATTTTCTAAAAACCGAAAATTGCCCTCACCCATACAACTAACTCTAGGGATGGCAATTTCTACCTGACCCATTATACCCGACCTGTTTGGCTTATTTTGGGGCGGGTCGTACGCGCCCTGTAGGTGAGCGGGGCGGGCAAGGGTACTATCATCGACCTGACCTGGCCTGGCCCGCCCCATTCTAGACCCGTTCTTGAATAAATTACATGTAGTCTTAGTCAAATTACTTAGGAATTTTCTTCTATTACATCATATTTTAACCGTAAAAAGTTATAAATTAGTGAAAACCTCAATTTTTCTAATAATTTAACTACATTTATATTGTTTGTTTTCTTGGTCTTGTAATAAAATAACGAATATTTCTCATATTTTTCATATATATTGTATACCCATTGGGTCGACCTGCCCCGACCCACGACCCGTGATAAATTACCCGACCTACCACGGGCTGATCTGGATACCAAGAAACCAGCCCCAGACCTGCCCATTGCCATTCGTCTTTAATCCCTAACTTCTTCCTCTCCTTTGATCTCCCTCTTCTCCCTCTCCATCGCCGCCGCCGCTTCATCTCCTTCTTCCTCTCCTCCGGCATCACCACCCATCACAAACGCCGTCTCCACATATCATCGCCATCTCTTTTCTTCGTCTCCTCCTCCAACCTGCTGATTGTGGTAAAAAACCCACATTTTAGAAATCCCTACCCTACATCCCTTGTTCAATGAAATGAATGGTTAACTCGCCATTTACTTAGCTATTGTTTGTGGTACTGCAACTTATATTATATGAACAAATAAACAGTTAATACAGATTGTAATTATACAAGTATCCCCGTGATCCTCATACGTCCACATCAGAATGTTCTTGTCGGCCATGAATTACCATTTGTAATCAGTTCTTTCTTCCACATCTGATGGCGAGTGGTCAGGTTCGACGTTACAGAGAGGAAATAAGTATGGAAAGCAATAACAATTGGTATTAGCTTCCTCATGGGATTATAATATCCAAACAACTGAAAATAAAAGATATTTCATGGTGGCTTCAAATCTTACTCTTGCAATCTCAAGCATGCAGGTCTCAGTTTGTCCATTCCACCGTCAAGAAAGCTTGCTTTCTTGAAGATTCAGAGAACCAAAATTGACACTCACAAGCGCAGCAGCCGCATGTGCAGCTGCAGTGGCTCGTTCTGCAGATGCAATAGCAGCTCGAGCAACCTCCAAGACATCAGATGGTTGTGCTTTCGTCCCCTTTCTACCATCAGAGAATTTTTCTGCATTGTAATTCCTGATTGGTGGTGGGTGGTTGACTTCATCAGTCTTCGCTAGGGGCTTCTTACATGATGCCATAGTGGGACTTGAAGCTTGAAACTGCACATATTCTTGTCTGCTGTCCATGGATGTCTGATTGGTATGAGACTTGGGACAACTCTGAATGCTGGCAACTTGAGAATGGGAACCCTCTGGTAGAGCTTGCTTAGCTCCAGCCTGCAGTTGAAACCCAATGGAGAATCCTTAACAAACAACAATCACTCAACCATGTGACTAGACCAGAAGGATTAGACTAGCTTGTCTCCACATTAATTTAGAAGAGATGAGTGAAAAAGCAGGCTAATTTTGGCGCAACAGAGAAATATAGAGAGCAAATAAATCCCAAGAGAGTCTGGAATCTCTCCATCTGTGCATAGTGGAAATAAGTAATAAGTGGCCATGAAACACAAACAGGAGAGAGAGAGATCTACAACGAGGAAACAACCACGAAATATTCAATTTGGTCTCACTTCAAGATTCATGGATACAGCAGGTGGTGACATCCAGGGAAGAAAACTTGCCATATTTTGATCAGTTAACCGTAATCATGGATCTTTGCCACTAACGCAACTCAACAACAAAAGAACGTCATAAACAGTGTGAATAAGGATTCGGACATCCTTCCTTATCCATAAAAAAGAGAATCCCTCTCTGTTTAGTAATCAGAAAGCAGGCACCATGAGCACGACCAGAACCCTAATTCTTAGTTTCACTCCATTCTAAATATTACCAAACAGTGTTACTTGGAAAACAAATGACTGTATGGAGACATTCACAATCCACAAAAAAAAATGGAGATATAAACTGGTTAACTGCTCTTAAATCAAACACAGTCCCATATTTTGTGTAGATGCCATTTGAAAGTCTGAAATATAAGGATACGTTCTTCTTTTCAGTCTCATCTTTTGTTTCAACTAATGCAAATACTACTTTGTAGTATAAAATAGCGAATCAACTACTGAAGCACACAGCTTAAAAATTATTGTTACCTAGGTATCATTTTCTAGGTTTGCATTGCAGTTGATAACAAAGGCAGTAAACATTACGGCACTAGAAACTAATTTGTGAGCTATACCAGAAGATCCTCATGCCGTTTATTGAGCTCAGCCTCTGTTTCAGAAGAGTCCCATTCCAGATGGTACTCTTTTGCAATTTCCTTCAACACCTTGAGCCTTTCTTCCGGAGATGGTGTACCAATTGATAGTTTTTCTATGATCTGAAGCATCACAAAACCCATTATAAGAAATACAAGTACATAATAAAGTCAGCGATTTTGTCAGCATAGGCCACAGCTTATTAACTGCGCGGTTGACACCAGAGTCAGGTCGGAGCTCCGAAGCAGCCATGACAAACTCCTTGCCATATTTAGCAGTAAACAAATTCTTGATCTGCAGTAGATCAGGAACTTCTGAACATCTTGGAGAGGCAAATATTATGCTTGCAACAGCCTCTCGCACCTCAGCAGGACATTCCCTGAAGATATGGGAAATCGGGCATCAAACAAGCCAATAAGTAATATGGAAAAAACAAGCAAATGCATTAAATGAGGTAATTATAATTTTATTTTTTCTGGCGACCGCTCAATCTATTCTGATTAGAGGACAATACTGGAGCTGTCAATATATGAGTAAATACCTGTCACAATTCAATCCAGTTCACTTCAATAGTATTCGCACCTGGACTAAAACACTACTTTACATTAAATAATAATCACAACTGGAATCACCACTACATGGTGTTCGTAATTGCATCATACTGCAACATCCTAGAAACAAAATCCACAAGTATTCAATTTTTTGCTGGCTAACAGTGACACTTCTTTTCACCGAGATTGTCAGTAACCAATACTAACAACTACGGACATGCCTTTAAGTACTGAAAATGCATGCATCAGTTCAAAATGACACTTCTACAGCCGAACTGGGAACTTGGTATGGTTTATAACAACTACGGACATGCCTTTAATAATAACTTAAGCACACAGTTGGAGTTTTATCTTAGCTGGGGCAACTGAGAGCCTTTTTCATGGACCTCGCTCAAAAGAGAAAGATCACAAGAGAATGAAAATTCTCATAGCATGCTATGAGATGAGATGGATCACTCTGAAGTCTGAACTTGGCAGGCATATGAGGCATCCTTTCCAGCTTTATTCAGATATCTAGCTTCTACTTGTAGAAACTGAAGAATAAAATTAACAACCATTCAACATTGACATCCTATTTTGTAAACAAGGATTATATTTCACCTGGGCTACAAATTCTTGGATCAAGTTGCAGCTAAAGGTTCAGACAGTTAATTGGTGCATGGCTGACAGCCTCCACAGAACAAATCGTGGTCATTGTTAAAGGTTCAGAAAGATATGGAGCAAGCAAATCAATTTCCAACATGACATACTTCACCAACATGAGGTGCCACCTATTTACCAATTTCATCTCTCCCACTTGAATTTTTCAGAATGGACAAGCTAACAAACAGCTGGCATGTATAGCTTAAAGGAATGGGAAAACAATTAAATTGGATGCAATCGTTCTCATCTGATTCTACTCTCTAGACAAGTGGGTGAGAGGTGAATTGCTTACTTCTGAGCGTCAATAATTGGAATGCGGGCGAGAACAAACTCACAGAAGAGCTCTAGTATCTCGAAAGCAGCCCATATGTTTTGTTCCCGTATCACATGCTCCACCTAAAGAAGCATATAGTTCAAACCACAGAGAAAGAACAAAACACGATTGAAACTGTCTATCAGTACACTATGCAAAATATGCAGCTTAAGCAATCAATTAATGAAATGGACAGAAAAAGAAAAGGCTATCAAGCGTACACGGATTCGGGCAATTGCTTCTTGGCCGGCCAGCAAGAATTGTGCTATCTCCTTGCGCATCTGTTTTAGATTCAACTCCCTCTTGTTCTGAAGCAACTTCATGCGTGAGAGAGCCAAGGTCAGGCATGTTTTACTACAAAAACCAGCCATCAACAACTATTCAGTAAGGGTACATTACTACATTCTTTTACCGATTCTATTCCCCATGGGGAAAAGGGAACCAGATCAACTGCATCCTCAAGACCCATTTAACCTATTGGAACCATTTGAAGAGAGCAAACGGATCGTAAAAAGGTATCGAATGGTGAGTTATTTTCATCCCTGAAGTCACCAGACAACAATGGATCCAGAACTGACATAGCAATTCGAAAAAGATTTCAGAAGCAACCTATGAACTTTATCGTAAGCATCGGATTACCCGGCGGAAAGGAAGACAATCCGTAAGAGAGAGGAAGGTAAAGGGAAGAAATTACTGACCATTTGGAACCAAAAACGCCTCGATTGAAGAGCTGGTTCAAGAGTGACATCGGATGTGCTACCCGAGAAGACTAACGAATCAAAATTATAGGTTCTGTAACTGTCAGAAAGACGACTTATATGCTCGCCACTGTAATATCAGTAGCTGCTATCGGAGGTTTCCTTCAGCTAAATTGTTTCCGACCACCACAACGCTATGCGATCATGGTGGAATGGAATTGTCGAACTACTCTTACGAACGGGGTTAGTTTTGTAAAGTCACCCTGGGGTTCGTTGGCTGGTGGTATGGTTATCAAACCCGCCATAATTTGTTGCTGACTTCGAGGAATGAGATTAGGTGCTAATTTTTATAGGGGTTAGCACTGTGATAACTAGCAAAAAACGCTATTAAAAATAACGAAATCACTACGGATTATTATGAAATCAATACAACATCTAAGCTAAATCACTACTAATTCAAACTAGTAGTAGTTTTTCCCTTGGTTAGGACGGTGCTAACTATTGTACAATTAGCACCGTAACCGCTCCCTAACTTCAACTCACAAAGTTAAATTTGACTCCCCAAATAGCTAAATATTGCTTTTTACTTCCTCAAACTTCATTTTCACTCCAACTCTACAAAAAGTTAAATTTAGCTTCCCACCTTCATTTTTCAATTTATTTCAATTAACCATACTTATTGACCTTTAGTTTTTATATTTCAATTTAATTTTTTAATAATTCGTTATTACTTTTGAAAAATAAAATTCGATGTAATTTTTTTTAATTCCGAGACAAATTTTTTTTGAAAAATTAGTCGCTAATTTGTTACCGTTAACTTCGAGACCACTCCAAATATGACCATTTTCTTGTAGTCGTTACTTTAAGACCATCTTGTTTGCTTGTAGATTGTATTGCATGTTTCAATATTAATTTTACTTCTTGTTGCTTGGTTGTTTGTATTTCAAGTTTCGGTGTGATTGTATTTCAAGACCGTTTTTTATGGCTGTTAATATATGATCGTTGCAAAGTGATTGTTGTTTCGTCACTACGTAAATTTATTCTCATTAATATTTAAATCACACCAACAAAGCAACAACCAATCACAAATGAGGAAGGAGAAGGGGAAAAAAAAGGGATTTGCCTGCCACATGGGAGTGACACACGTTGGTCTAGTACCCACTTTTTTGCCTAGCCATAAATGGTTTTCTTCCCAAAACCTAGCCAAATTTAGCTCCCAAATCCCCAATACCCATATTTGACTCCCTCTTTTTTTGTGGGTTGGAGTAAAGAAAAAGTTATATATGGCTCTTCGGCTTTTTTGCTCCTTGGGTTGGAGCCAGCCTAAAGTAAGTGGTATGGTATGAGCCATGAGCCATGAGGGGTTGTCGGGTTGCCGGTTGGGTGAACTTCAATCAGGAATTGACTCAGAGAGTTATCAACGAGTCAATATAATTATGATATGTTATTCATTCATATTTTTTCGGGGATAGGTTACGATGATTACTATACCATGGTTAATAAGGGTAAATTGAGTATGACCAAAAAAAAATTATTAGTTACCTTTTTAATAAATTACATTTTAGGAAGTTATAAAAATATATTATTTATAATTTTCTCTCTCTTTCTCTAACTTCAGTAATCTCCAGTCATATCTCTCTTCCTTCTTTTTCCCAATCTTTTCATTTTTCCGTTCAGTCGAAAAAATACCATTGCAAAAAAAAACAAGAAATAAATATAAATCCATTAGTGAACCACTACCGCTTTGAAAAACACAAATATCGTTGCAGAAATAAAGCAATACCATTATAAAAAACACAATAACATTACACTAAAACTACCAATATAAACAATCTACATCATTACAAGAGTCAAACCAATACCACTATTGTGAAAGCAAATAAATATCATTTCATAAGGAAATCAATACCATTTCATAAATGAATCAATACCATTTCATAAATGAATCAATACCATTAGAACGAACACGATGGTGTCGCAAAGAAGACGTGATACATTGGGGCTGATTTAGGAGTGGCGGTGGGAGGTTAGTGCGTCGGAACTGGTGTAGGAGGGCGGCGAAACTAGTGCGACGGGAGTTTATGGCTGCGTCTGGATGGGGTGGGATGGGGTGAGGGATCCGGGGGAGAGAAGATAGGCAAGGTGAGGGGTTGTGGGGTGGGGATGGAGCCGGGGACGGGGTGGCGGGAGGGATCGGGGGGACAGAGAGTCGGGTAGGGGCGGAGCTAGGATTTCAAAACCGGGTGGACTGAAAAATAATTAAATCTAAATCAAGTAATAATTACTTATGGCAAATAACTCAATAAAAGTAATAAAAAAGTATGAAAGGAGTGGTTTTTTCGTTGTTTGGTTTAAGGAAATATAGATGGGAATTAAAATAATAAAGTCTCAAAGTCAAAAGTTCTGTTTGGTTTTAAGAATATGTAGAAGGGATTTTTTCTCAAAGTGATTCTCTTTTGATTTTAAGGAATTATAGATGGGAATTAAAATGATGAAGTCTTGAAGTGGGTAAAGTAAAACACAAAAAGTAAAATATTAAGATATATAGAAGGGATTTTTCTCAAAGTGGTTATTAATAATGAAGGCAGTAAAGTAAAAAACAAAACATACGACCACTGGGAATTGAGCCAGTGTCCTTTAAATTAAAAGTTATGGATGTTTACTATCCAACTATATGACTTTTGCATTACACAATATACTTAACGATTTGTACTTATAAATTTTTACTAAATATCGTAAAGGTCTTAGGGGCCGAAACAATTTCCGGGTGGGCCGGGGCCCACCCCACCATCACTGTAGCTCCGCCCCTGGAGTCGGGGTTGGGGTTTTGGGCGGAGGGACGGAGTCGGGGACGGCGTGGGAACGGTGGTGGTAGGCAGTAGGGTAGGGTGAGACGGTTGGAGAAGAGGCGGCAGTAGGAAGATGGGTTGTAGTAGAATTTTGGTACAATATATAGAGTAATCAAGTGTATTAATTTTTTATTTACAAAATTACCCTTAATCTAATCTTTATCGTCAATTTAATAATAGGGTGAAATAGAGATAATGAATGATGTAGATTTTGGTAGCCACCGTGAATACTCAAAATTGAGTAACCACGCAAACCTATTCCTTTTCCAGGTTGTGTTAGGTGGGTACAGTTGGGTTGTGGTTAACCAAAAATCAATTCTCCAACTAGTAGGGATGGCAATGTGATAGATTTTGAGTGGATTTCCCTAAACCACCTCTATCTTTATTTTCCAAATACCTGACACGCTAAAACACAACACCAAACAATGGCCAAGTGTAACCAATGGAAGGGACTGCAGTATAGTGGCTCAAGTGATAAATATCGAATCCACGGGTCTCTAGAGTTATTATTACTCAGCTTCAGTTCATTATTTAGCAAACCAGATTAATAAGGGAGAACTAAAACTACTCTAGCAAACTACAGTTAAAGTTAATCTAATTACAGGTTGGGAACTCACTTAGGTATGATTCCCCCTAGCCAGTAGCCAGACTAACGATTGATGATTTCTAACTTGTTTCACTTTCATTCACAATGCGGAGAATCCTTGACTAGACCTTGAGTCTCGACTAAAGGAACAAGGCCCTCTTGAGTCAATTGCCTAGAGGGACGTATCCTTCTCTAGAACAACCGATCATGGCGTTCTGAACTAGATTCCCTCTATCGAAAGAGGTTCTCAATCGATACAAAGCAATGAATCAACCCTCGACTAAAGCAATCGATCCACTACTATCAATCTATGGTGCTCTATTGACCTAATCAGGTATTCACACTCATAGGATCAAAGCAGAATCAATAATCTCGACTAAAGCAGAATTGAATCATGAAAACATGCATAGATTGAATATGAACTCAAGGTTATCAAGTCAGAGTACTCATACAATCATCCAATCAAACAAACATAGCTAGGGTTCCTCAAAACCTAAGTGAAGGGAAGTTACTCCATAGAGAAGAGAGAGACTGCAATAAGAATCTTCAGATGATCAGTCTTCAAGTCCGGGCTTGTTTCTCGAGCTTCCAAGGCGAAGAAATCCTCCAATTCCACTCTTAGAATGCCCTCAAATCGCCCTCTCTCTCTCTCTTTGGTTCGTCCCTTGGGTGTTTGGGATCCAAACCCCAGCTCCCCCTCTCCTTTGGCTCGAAATTTGCTTAAAACCAGAAATTCTCGACTCACACGGCCGTGTGACTTCCCCAGCTGCCCGTGTGAGTGTCCAAACGCGGCGTTTCGATTAGTGGGCAACCAGGCAAGCTGCACAGGCAGAGGCCACACGGCCGTGTGGCTCCCCAGGCTGCCCGTGTGGCTTTTACCGAGCCTTCACACGGCCACAAGGGGCCCCTACACGGTCGTGTGAGGTGCAATGGTGCCCGTGTGGCTTCCCAGCTTCTCGCCAAACGTCCAATCTTCGTCCAATCGACCCCGAACTCGTTCCCAGGCCTTCATTCATGTGCTAGGACCTAAAATATCACAAACACGAACAACCTAGCGTGAAATCGGCCTATAACGCGGGAATCGACATCTCAAACGGCTCAAGAATAGGGGGTAGAAACATGTGTAATTATTGGTCTATCAATACCCTAACTTATATCCATGCAGGGGAGATTTTGCAACACCATCTTTATTTCGTCGATTTTCGGTGCCCGTAGATACTACCCGCTTCGTATTTTTGGGCGAGTCCATTTGTTAGCAAAGTACGGCCCTCTAATGCCTCCTATCACTGGCTACGGAACTCCTCCCCATAGAAGTCTATTTATAGACTTTCTATTATGGTTTTGAGGGGAGATAGGACTGTGATCTAATCTGTTTCGAGTCCCAACAAACCTCTTCTAGCTTGGCCACAAAAAATGCATATCCCTTGAAAATTCTTGTGAATTATGTACAAACCTCAAATCGGGCCCCAAGCACCGTTTGGGTTATAAGGATACTAAAATTGATGTCATTTTTTTCCTCCCTTCATTTAACATTTCTGGCTCCGGGTAGTGGAGTCTCGATGTACCCTAAGTCGTTGAAAGTGGTCCACTAGGTTGTTATACCCTGAAAAGACAC